ATTCTATGATTCTATGATTCTAATTCAGAAAGGGGACGGCAGCACCACTGACCTCCAGCAACGATGCCGCAGTGATTAGTGATGCCGACTGAACAACCTCGCAGGCGTCCAGGTTGTCATAGGTCCGAGCTGGGGGAAGAAAGGCAGAGGGAAAACCATCAGCAAGGGATGTGGCTCTGTAGAAGGTAGATGGGGTGAGGGAAAGGGTCTTTCTCCACTGCCTCCGTGTGATGGCCGGGCAAAATCTGGCCATCAGAAGGGAGAGAAAAGTTCATGCAGCTGCTGGAGACCTGCTGCTGGCTGCAAAGGACCTGTACTCTGCTCTGCCAGCCACCCTAAATGACTGATGAGCTAAAAACGTTTCTAGCATGTCAGTGCTTTAGGCTTCTGTCTTCCAAAGAGGCTTTTTAAATCACTGAGTCATTTCTGATAGCAGGGAGGTTTGGTACCTTTACAAAGGCATACCCAATCACACATCCTCTTCCCAAACAGTCTGTTAGTCTCTCCTTGCCAAATCTGAGTCTACTGAATGGCCTCGGGCCATATTCGACCTCCCTCCATTCAGAAAAGGTGGATGTCACCGAGCATACTGGAGTCTGGCAGCCCTGCAGAGTGGGCAAAAAAGGTGGATGTCACCGAGCATACTGGAGCCTGGCAGCCCTGCAGGGTGGGCAGGTGGACTTATTCCTCCCTTCTTGTCCTTACATGCCACAATAAGCACCTGAGTCCCTGGCATGGCACCACGGCAGGTGGTCTGGATACAGCCCTCCGCCCCTAAGCTTGGCTCCCTCTCACCGTGCAGAATGAAGAGTAGAAGTGTGCTGGACCACGTCCCTGTATTTTGTCCTTTTACCTTCATACTGCAGGTTCCCCATGTGCAGGATGGCAGCCAGCAGCTTGGAGATCTCCCAGTTCTCCGTGTCGGTGAACATAAGGACCTTCATTGCAGAGCGGATGTTGGCGTACTCCTTGCTATCATCTCTGCCATCGCAGGTTGTGCAGTTACCCTGGGGAGGCGAAGAGGTCGCACAATGCATGGGGTAAAGCAGAGAGCATCTGGGTGTAACCCTAAGCCATCCAGGGCTTCGCCCTAAATCAGTAGACATTTTGTTTAAGGGATGAATAAGCAAAAGATGATGTTGAACCTGAGGATCTGGCTCTGCGCTTTGGTGTATACTATGATTTGGTGCTCAGCCTTGTGACCTGCACGTACCCTGCTGTCCCCAGCTACCCTGTGTCTGGCTGCAATCAGCAGAGCAGAAAAAGCTCCCGGAGATGGAGATAAAGAGCAAGAAGGAAATGTGCTGGAGGGTCCCACCGATCCAGCGAGAAAGCTGGGTCCCAGCCTTGCTGACGATGGGCCAGCCTTAATTACGCCTGCTTCTACCAGCTCCTCTGGATTGTGACACTGGGGTATAGGGAGCGGGGCTGGAGGTTGCTGGCTCGGTCAGACACGTGGAGCAGAGACAGCTCAGCACCATAATGCGCCATCCAGCCATGCGCTCCTCCCTGTCCATCGCTGCTGCAAGAGCATCGGGTCATATCTAACACCCTGGTTATTTCCAAACAAGTGACCTGGGCACCAAACACCAAAACCATCCAAGCTTGTGTCCTGCTCCACAGGAAGAGTGGAAATAACCTGGTCTATGCAGGTTAAGGGTTTGCGCTAAGACTGTGAGGGTTGCAGTGGTGGGACAAAGAAGTCCCACAAACCCTGTGGCTAAGACTCGGGAAGGTCATAACCAGCAAAGCAGCTCTTGGCTGTGGAGGAAGCACCTCTTTCTTCTTTCTCCCTTGCTAACAAGCTCTCACCACATCACCCCACCAAACCTCTGCTTCGCTGCGCTCTCACCATCGCAAGGTAGTTGTAGTCCGTGGCTTTCCCAAGACCCAGCTTCTTCTTCTGCTCCATCGTCATTCCTCTCAGCATGCAGTAAAACACGTGGTAATTCCTCTCGTCCTGGGCCTGCGGCAGAAAAGCAAGCGTCAGCTCTGCGAGGAGAACGGCACCGCAAAGGTCGACTGACCGAGTGCCCACTCCCACGCCTTGCAGGTACATCGCCTTACCTGCCTGCAGACCCGGGACTTCTCCAGCAGGTACTGCTCAATCTTCGCCCCCTCGATGGCTCCCCTTTTGTTGAAATGGATGTCGATGTACTTCCCAAATCGGCTGGAGTTGTCATTACGGATGGTCTTGGCGTTCCCGAAAGCTGTGGGGAAGAATTGCAGTGGGTTACAGAGGACCTGATGCAAGGGAGGATCATGGAACTGGTCTCATGGGCAAAAAAACGTAATCAAAAGAGCAAGGCTGAGAGGGTAAAAAGCAGCCCCCAAACCTTTCCCTTAAGTTTGGCTGGCTCAATTTCATCTCAGCGTGGGGAGACAGGATATACCGTAGATGACTGTCCTTGGGAATACGGAGAGGAGCACAGAGAAGGAGGCACGGGAACGGGGTGACCTTCTCCAGGAAGAAGGGCTAGGACAGCAGGATTTTGGCAGCAGCCGATGAAATACAAGAGGGTTGAGCAAGGCTGGCAGGAGGATGCTGCAGTGTGCGAGGTGACGCTGTGCGGGAAGTGACAGAGCTGGTGGTGAGTGATTTGGTGACTGAGAGGGTAAGTAAAGAGCTCATCCTTTAGGGAAATACAGAGGGACTAAGCCAACCTCTGGCGGGAGACTTCTCCCTGCAAACAGATTGTGTGCAGAGAAAGGTACCCACGTCCATCCTCTGTGTGGGTGTAGACCGCTGGCACGAGCGCCCTGGCCAGCATGTCCTGCCTCCAGGGTTCTGGCAGGTGACGGAGATGCATTTGAAACACAGAGCCTCTCTTCCCCTCAATCCTAGCAGCGATGAAGTGCATGTTCAAAAACATCTTGTGTGCATGCCATGCACCGTGATGCTTTACAATGCCAGTGGTCAGGCAGCCCTGCGGTGCCCCGAGAGCCTCGTCGCATCTTCATGCCACGGCTGAAGGAAGCTCCAGCGGAGAACAGAGAAGGAAAGCTCAGCCAGTGACTTTCTTGTCTGCTCCGCTAACATTATTCACGGAAAGCAGTTAGGATATTCACATTTCCATTGATTTCTAGGGGGCTATTTACCAAGAAAAGCACTGCTCTCTGTGAGTAGCAGGAGAGGTAAAAATAATGTTATTCTTTAAGGAAAATGCTATTTTTCTGCATAAGTGGGAAAGGATCATCTGGCATCATATTGGGGCCAGAGGGTCGGATCACCTATTTAATTTATAGACATCCAATTAAAACAGTGGGGCTGACCACAGTAACAGCTTGCCAATGTACCTATTAAGGCCACGAGCCGATTCTCGTTATCTGGTTCTTTCTTGAACTACTTTTATTTCTTTTTCTGCATTCTGCTGCCGTTCACTGGTCTTGGAAGGAAAACGTGGGGTTTACTATTGTGTATTGCCAGCACAAGGTGTTTAGTCTGTGAATCTCTGGTCAAATTAATCTCATGTTTTGCTGAACCAGCAAAGAATAGGAATACGTTTTTTGCAATTATAGTCAAATAAAACAAAACAAAAAAATAGTTAGTGGAATATGCAGCATTTACAGAATATTGGTGCTCTGCATACAGTTATAATTCCAGCACTGGAAGAGGTGGTGAGATTTTTCAAAAGAGCTTTATGTATTTGGTGATCAGCATTTTTTAAATCCCAGACTACACAGAGAATTAAGTAAAATTCAGGTTTCTGTTTTGAAATTCTAAAAAAAAAGAAAGTCATGATTTAAGTGGAAAAACCACATTTTTCAATTTTAAGTGAATAAAAAACCTGAAAAATATTTCAGGTCAACTGAAATGTTTCGCTTTCAACAATAGTTGTCAAAAATATTAATGGAAAATTTGAGAGCCCAAATCAGAGAATATTTGTCTTGTGAAAAATAAATTCAAATGGAAAGAAACCAAATATGCTGTTTAACAAACGTTTACATCATTGCTTTTGATTTTTTTTTTAAAATTTGTCACTTTTTGAAACTCAAAATACAACAAAGTGACTTACATATTTTGTGGTTGCTAAATCTGAATTTTTTTGCCAGCAAAAAAATGCTTCCATCATCTGAGGTCTCACCTTCCAAAATGGGATTTGCCTCCAGGACCTGCTGCTCAATCCAGGAGTGCTGACCACTGATGGCTGCCAGGAACTGCAGAATCAGTTTTGTGCTTTCTGTCTTCCCGGCTCCGGATTCACCACTGCAAAAACAACAGGAATCGAGGTCAGTGAAAGCCCTGCTGCATGCCTGCTGATGTCCCTCTCTCTGTCTCCAAAGGGACTGATGTCTTTGTGCCTATTCTGCTAGAGCAAGCAGGACGAGGCCACTAAGGATGGATTTCCAGCATCTCAAGGACTGGTTGTAGGAGAAATGGTAGGACACAGTACCAGACAGCTTCCAGCCAAGATCCAGATTTGTTTTCCAGTCCATTTGGCCCAAACTGTTACTTGGGTTTGGGTGTCTCCAGCAAATACCATCATTCAATCAGCACTAAGAAGGTCAGGAAGCACTTTCAGACAGTGCTTTTCCAGGTATCATCACCAAACCATGAGCCTGTGGTCCAGGGGCTAGCTGGTCCCATGGGGCATCTTCATCATCAGTCTTGAGCTGCCAAAATGCACTAGAAGGCAGACTGTGAAATGCTGCCTTTTAGTGGCAGGCACTTTCATAGGTCCCCTAGGCACGTCCTACCACGGGGCAGGTAGGAGAGGAGAAGATCATGGGGCAGGAAGCAAGAGTTACTCCCCAAAACTTTTCTCTCCACTGAAAGATAACTTCTGTTGCAATGGCACGAGAGGAAGGGCTGGGCAGAAATCCCTTGGTGTGAGTCTGTCTGATGCATGGGGTAGCCAGTAGAAATGATTGAAATGGACCTTCCTGGTGTTCAGTAACCAGCCCTGGCCCCACGGCCGACTTGCCTCACTTCTCAGGGTTGGCTGGCCACTGGCACACTGCATCACACCTGGTCTTGACTCTCCTCTGGGCTCCATATGATGCTTTTTTAGCCCTGCAAGGTCATCATTACCACATGGTCTTTTTAGTTCCACGTATCTGAAATACTGTGCATGGGGTGCTCCAGAGAAATGTGTTTGTGCAATGAAACTTAGGGTAGGCATGCCTTGGAGGGAGGTGATGCCCTGAAAGCATGCAGGACTGTTTGAGGGTTCAAAACTCGATAGGATAGCGTTGGAGGGCTGAGGGAACCAAATCTGGTTCATACCACCATTTGGGATAGACACTGGAGTGAACTATGACCACAACCGTGACCGGGCATTTCTTGGAGCCCAAGGTTGACCAGTCCAGAGCAGAGCCATGCAGGGAGACACCAGTTCAGCAGTGTGAACAACCACAGGTCCAGTGATCAAGCTTGTCCCTGCAGAATGTATAGATTTTTGCATCTTTGATGTCTGTAGGAGTATTGGATTTAAACTTAAAAGGGGAGGTTAAAGTTGAATGTGAGATTTATTGGGTAGTAGGATAAGTACCAAAGGATCGATAAAGCGTCTTTACTAGGAACAGTGACTGCAAACAGAGACCACCTCTGCACTGGGAATATGTGGATGGAAGATCTAACAGGTCATTCAAATTTCTGATTCTATTTGATAAGCTGTTCCCTATCACCCACGTTGCAGGTGCTCAGCATCCGCTTTCAGGATATGGGCCATTTGGAAATTCACCAACTCACCTTATGATACAACACTGGTCCTTGTTGTTGCGCTGCATGTTGAAGTAGCAGTTGTCAGCAATTGCAAAGATGTGTGGTGGCATCTCGCCAATCTTTTTGTTGGTGTACAGGCGTATCTGCTCAGGTGAGTAGATGGGTAGGAGCTGGTAGGGGTTTACTGCCACCAGTATTGAACCAGTGTATGTCTGGAGAAGAAGCACATGAAGGTTTATGGGGACAGTGAGATGTAGCTGAGAGGCTTTGGCAGTTTGGATGGAGTGTGGAGGCCAGAAAAATCAAGGTTTTTCAAAAGCTGGATGAAAAATGATGTTCAAGTCGAAAATGCTTGCAGGGTGGAGCCTGGAGCAAAATTGGAACAAAAGTCCCGAACTGTCTAAATCAGTTCGTACTCAGCCTTGCTCATGCACAACATGGATTCAAGCCTTAATTCATATTTTGGATGCTCCTCAGCTAATTCAGAGTTTCAAGTCAAGCTCATATTTGCAAAAATATCGCCAGAGCCAGCACATATCCATATATATTTATTGCATTGCACAAATTATGAGAAACTAGAGGTGAAAGGGACCTGGAGACCATTGCCCTATCTCAAAGCAGGACCAGCTGGATCCAAACTATTCCTGACAGATGTCTGTCTAACCTATTTTTAAAAATCCACAACAGAGCTGCTAAGTCTCCCTCTGCAATACGTTCTTCTCTACCACCTCTGCCTAACCAAACCTCTCCATGCTGCAATTTAAACTCGTCCTGTGCACATGGATATGGCCCACAAAGTACTGACATATCCCTTCCCAGCTATTTCTGAGTAATTTTTGGAAATGGCCTTTTGTCCATCCCATGCTCTCTGTGGCACTCAAACGAGCAAAGCTCTCCTGGGCCTTGGGCAGCAAAACACTTTGTGGTGTCTTTCATCTTTGCTCTTTCATTTCTGCCCTTCCAGAAGCCATTTCTCTCAAGTATCTCAGCAAAGGACTCATGACCTTTGTCATCTCGCTCAGATGCAGCTCTGCGGTTAGGAGGTTTGGCCACATCCCAAGCTCAAGGCTGACAATAAGGATCTCCTTCCCCAACTTCAGCTGCCTAAAAGTTAGCGTGTAGAGCAAGCGAGTCAACAGGGTTTCATCTTGGGCTAACCAAAGAGCATGAGATAAAGGCTCGTTTCACTCCATGACTTCAAAGGAGCCGAGTCACCTTCTCTAAGTGAACTTCTGGAAACTAAAGTTACAAGATTAATCTCACCTTTCTTTCCTGGTGGGACCAGCTGTGAAAGTGCCCCCACTGCTGCATATATTCTTTTCAGGGGGGAAAAAAAAAAAAGTAATTTCAACATAAAAATAATCCTTCTGGGTTTTCAGCTGTGTGGCCTAAAACCAACAGTAAGCTTTTGGCACAAAGCAGCAAAGTGGCACAGGCAAGGATGCAAGTGAACCGAGAAGAAAATCTCTCTGTGCTCTGCTGGCTGCTCCTCTTCTTGTGCATATTGCAAACTGGCTGATGAATAAAACAAATCTGAGCTATTCCTCGTTTCTGAAGGCAGCAAATTAACTACCGCTGCTGGGGAGAGGAGTGGAAAGGGAGACCTGGAGACACAAGCTGGCAGCCCCATGTCGAGTTTGTCCCATCGAGCCCAGTTTCCCTCAATCATCATGGAAAGGGCTTGAGTGCAGTGAGATGATAATTTGTTTGCCACCATCTCCGCAACTCTTCCCACCAGCTCAGGCTTGCTGAAAGGCAGCCAGTAGATGGCAATTGTGTCCTACAGCAGGGACGCTGAAAGCCCTTAGGGACTCACCACTTTCTAGCCTCATGGCCAACACCAGAGAGCAACTTTCTGTTTGAATTTACAGCGGTAACTGAGAAAGGATACAATAGTCTTCCCTGTAATAGGGGGTTATGTGCCAGTGAAGGCAAAAAGCTCTTTAAGCTCAAGAAAAAAATTGTCACAAATCCAAAGGGTAGAAATTGGCTGTGAAATCATGTAGACTGGATGTCAGAAGAAGAAAGCCCTGAAATAGGGGAGCAGAGAATTCCCAGAACAGCCTTCCACAGGGACAGAGCAGGTAAGCTTAGTGCTCAGAGAAGCACTAAGAGCTCAATTTCTGAGTGGTATTATCATAGAATCATAGAATCATTAAGGTTCGAAAAGACCTCTAAGATCATCTTATGTCACCAGGATCCCCAGTGAACCCCAAGTCTTCTTCCAGTCCCGGCTGAGATACTTGGAAGACTGTTTTCCTCTTCATAATTTATTGCCAAGTTAATTTTAGGGACATTTCCAATCTTCCTTTAGCCTCTTTTCGAAAAAACTGACCCTCCGCAGAGGTCTGAAATCCCTGTGTTTCAACCCCGCTGGTCTGCCCTGCCCCAAACGCAGCCAGTGAGACTTTTGAAGGAGTTAACCATTTGAATGCTTTCTGGATGCTCTCACTGACCCTTCCCTTGTGATCCACAAAACACACTGTCAGCATGAACTCTTGGACTATTGCTTGTTTTTGTAGGTCATTCCCAGTTGATAAATACTCACAATTTGCCCAGTTCTCACAGTTGACGGCATGCAAAATGTTGTCCACTTTGCTGATGAGGGTCCAAAGGGCACCTCCAAGAAAATATTCTCTCTCTGGTTTCTATTGCTGGGTGAAGGCAAAGCCCTCCTGTCTTGGGAAATAAAGCTTTACCAATAGGCAGGGGCTCTGCCGTAGCTGACCACAGGAACCACATCTCAGTGCAAATTCATTACTGCCTGCATGACCTACATTTTAATTAGCCCCAAAGAAATCCTTTCTGAACCTGCTTCCCTTGCTACCCAGAACACCACGGCTGACTTCATCTGGATTTTTATAGGGTTAAAGCTCTACCAAACATTACTGCCTTTTCGCAACCCTTAGAGAGCAGCAGCAGGCAATGCTTTTGTCTCCAGGTAAAGAGATTTAACCTTACTCACGAGTCCAAACTCCCCACCAGATGCTCTTGCTATTCAGCATAGTTTCTCTTAGTGCATGCAAGCCGAACCATGGGCAACAAGCCCTTGTGGAAGCTTTTCTCATTTTGCTGCGGAAGTTTCTTTCCTTCAAGTGGAGGTCATTACTGAGAAGCATTTACAGCTTTAACCACATTCACAGACTGGGGACTTTCCAGCTCTGGGAAGGTGTCACAACTTCACCATGAGGGCCAAGCTCTGCAGCAGAGAGGATGATGCTTTCAGTGCATTTGTGAAGCAGCAGCAATGGTGGTGCAAAGTAAACGAGAATGCCACAATGGTGAACAGAAACAAGTGATCCAGTGGAAGGCATGACAGCGATTGCAAATGACAGCGCCAAGAGTCATACTTACCCTCCCGCCGCAGTTTGTCTTACGAGTAAAATGTGAGGGAGGAGAAAAAGGAAAATTATATTTTATTAGAGCAGAATTACACCCTCCTCAAAGCTAAGGGGATGAGGAAACAAGAGAGACTGAAGACTCATTGGAAAAGTCATCCTCTACTCAGCAGGCTCAGAAATCCTTCCAAACAGTGAAGGTAAAGTCACACTGAGCTTCACCATCTTTAAGATAGAGCAAACTATACCCCAGAAAAAACACCTCAGGGGACTGGGTATCCCTACCTACATGGCATCCATACCGTACCTTGGCTTTGCAAAACTGCCATCAATATTTACGACATTTGACACAAATCTACTCCTCCTAGTGCCATCACTCTTAAAAGATGAGATCTAAAGTTGGGTTCCTGAGCCTCCAACAACACACGTGTAGACAGGGGTGGTTTACGTGCCTCTCTGTCAGGCTATGCACTCTATGTCATTTTGAGAGTGTCACTCTAATTTTGAGATTACACTAATTGCTGCATTGTGCCCAGCATCGTGGGTTGGCACTCCAAAGCCATTAGTGGTGTGGAGCAATCAAGGCACAGTAACCTGGAACCGCTGTGATGCAAATCCTTTTGTGGGATGTGGCCACCCCTTATGCAGCACCTTTGTAGGACATGGCTCTGTCACCGTCAGACCTGAAGAACTCGCAGAGAAACCACATTGTTATTGAGTCACTTCAGCCCACGCTTACCTCCAGGTTAGCAGCTGCCCTTTGCATTAGCCCTTATTAGTATGACGCTGCCAAAGAACTTCTGCCCGGTGCTCATTTGTGTTCATAATCTCCCTGGATGCCTGTGAATAGCTTGGTGAGGGAGCTCAGAGGCAGAGATTTCGTGAAGGAGCTGAGTGTATTCACAGGCAATCTGATATTGCACACATGAAATCTTATCTGAGGACCTCTGTTCACTTAGTGAGGCAACAGGCGCTTGCCTGATGACATAGAGACCCCAGGAGAGACACATGGACACCACTGAAAAAATACCCAACATGATCCCAAGAGATTTCCCAGATACCAAGAGAGAGCTGCAGGAATCCACTTGGTACCAGCGCAGGGTGCCCACAAACAGGAGAAAAAGGGGCAATGCTCAATGGATAAATACATGTTCCCTGAATGAGCCAATCAGCTACAAATTATTGGTTATCTGTACTTCTCGGGTGGCATTCAGGTTGCTTGAATTTAGTTATCCACGTGAGTACTACATCTAACCTTGAAGATGGACATGCTCTGAGCTGGAGGAGGTTGGACTGTAGACCTCCAACCTGAACTTTCCTTTCAACATAAACTCTTCCGTGATACCCAAGCCCCAGCCAGCTCTAAAGCAATCCCCTCATCAGCAGGCACCTATGTTTGCATGGCTGAAAGGCAGTCTTGGCTCTGTTGGCTCCATTGGTATCTCTGGTGACTGCTGTGGGTGCTTAGTGCACATGGAGACACCACCTCAAGTATTAATTTGGCCTGCTAACTTTTGCTAGTTTATCATTATAAATGGCTGTGGCTCCCTGAAGGGAGCTCCGGGGAGTAACTCAGTTCATCTAATGTGTGAATCATTTTCTGGTCATGCCTTTTTCTCTAAACTGACAATACAGGGGACCTAGACATCATGCACAACAAATAAGGTGCCTTGGTGAGAGATGAATTTGGGGATCTCTATTCTCCTCCAAGCTTTGGGGAATTAGGAGTGCCTTTTCAGCAGCCATATCCCCTTCCTCTAGGATTGAAATCCATCTCTGAAAGAAGAGATGGATATCTTCCAGAGTTGGGGACAGGGGGCTGTCAACCATATGAACAGCCTATGTAACAGTGGTGTGCTCTCCATCACTGCCCAGCTCTGAGTCAAAACCATCCTTTCAAAAGGCACCGGACATCAAGCAGAACAAGGAGACTTGACAGATAAAATCCTGGATATGGTCTGCTAGCTTATGCTATCTGGGAAGTCAGACTGTACTGCAATTCCCTCTGGCCCGAAAATCTAGTAGTCTCTAGAGCCTTTTAAAAATTAGATTCCCAGGTGGCTTTGGAAAGGCCTTCAAAGGCACAGCAGGCACTTACCTGAGTATCTGAAAACTGTAGGATTTGAGAGCAATACCAAATTTCCCATATTTGCATAGGCTGTTTGAATACATTAGCTAGTGGCAAACAAACACACGTGCTCCTCGCTTTTGCTCCAAGACTGCGCACCAGACTACACAGCATATAGCACACTGATAAAACCGGCACGGAGACTCGAATGCCGACTCTTGTCCTGCTGGGGAGGTGGCCTTTGAGATGTTCAGTCAGGGTTTCCCACACGTGGGTTCCCTAGAGCTAAGGAGAGCGGGGGGGGTGCAGCGCAGAGCAAGGGGTGGAGGTGGGGAGGACACTCACATAGATGAGGTGTTCCCGATAGCGGATCAGCAGGTTCCTGAGGATTCCTGCCTCGTTCAGGTCCCCCAGGCGGATCATGTCCTCCACTCCATGGATGGAGGTGGGATGCATGGGTTTGATGTGGCTGGCATTCTGCGGGGAAATCCAGTGCTCCTGGGAAAAGAGCGAGGGCAGAGAAAGATAAATGAAATTAGACACCACTGGGATGAGAGGCAGAAACAGCCCACCCCAGATAGAAGGACCAGATGGAAGAACATACACGGGAGAGCATTAGCACACAGGCCACAGCTTCTATTCCTGGTACATGGCAATTACTAAGTTGAAAGATTCCTAGCAGAAGAAGGAAAATATCTTTTGGTTTACTGGAGCAGCAAGCGGCACGAGACACAAGCCTGGCAGAAGCATCATCCAGGGCAGTGTGGACATCCAGCACATCAGGGGTGTTTTTAACAAATAACAGGTTTGTTCTTCCCTTCACACAACTACATTTTCACATCACTGGTTAACCCCCTGCCACAAAATACTGTTGAGCAGAGAAAAGATAATTTAGAAGAGGAGGGAGGGACGCAGAGGGGTGGCAAAGTCACACTTTTATTGGCAGACTGTCCTTTAGACTGATCGCTTCTAGAGGGCTTCAAAAGCCACTACAAATTGGATTGCTGAACCAAATCTCTTTCTGCCATCCTTGAAGGGAATGACAGCACTCACAATTATCTCGGGCTGGAAAATAAAATTATAAAGGACAGAGAACCTCCTCTGGCCACCCTCTGCTTGTGATATAGATGTTCCTCTAAAAGAGCCACCACTGCACAGAAGTAGGGGTGGGAAATTGAAGGAGAACCAGTGTTTGGGCACATCCTGTGTTGGCAGGAGGTCAGGAAGGGCTGGATAACAGCAGAGGAACAGCAGGTCGAGGTGGGTTTGCTCAAAGCACTATCTAAATGTGTTTTGGAGGCCCCTGTTATCATTGTACTCAAAAAGCCCCTCAACTTTTCACTCCCAGTACCGCCACAAAAGTAGGGACACAACATTATCTTGTCCTTACAAATAGAAAACTATGGCACGGTTGATTCCCAAGGACGTATGAGAAGCCTGTGTCAAAGTCAGTCATCATGACCCCATGACCCCTGGCCTAGCCAGGCCCATAGAGCTGAAGAAGGGTCATCACAACCTTTCGTACGTACATTGCCTTCATCATCCACAACCTGGATCTGTCCAGAGTCACACAGTTTAACCACCGCTCCAATGGGAACATCGAATTCTCGCCCGGTTTTGAGGTCCATCCACACATAATCCCCCTGGAACCAAAGAGAGAACAGTTACACCCAGAGCTGCAGAAGGTTCAGCATCCCCTGGGGTACAACATGCTGATGTTTTGGACCCAAATGATTGGTACAAGTCAAATTACTTCTTTGTAAAGCACAAACCAGCCCTTTTTCACAGATGCTCAGGAAACCCCCTGCAAGGTGATAGCATGCTCCACACAGCATACATCCACTGTACGATCTCTCCGTTTCATGAGCTCGTGAGTGGTTGTCGGTCACAGACTGCACCCAGCAAGCAAGTTACAGAGCAGTGATGCCGGGCAGAAGAACCCACCCAGGTAGAGGTTTCCCCTCTGTGCAATGTACAAGCCTAGAAAGTCACGCTTAGGAGATGGTTTTGAGCTTTGGAAAGCTTTGTCTGGAGGCTTGTGGCACATTTTTTCCTTGCAGATAACCACTATCAAATATACATTCCCCTACCTTGGAGACTGGTGAAAAGAGGATGACTAAAGAAGGGTTAAGAACATACCAAAGGGGTAGATATATATCTAATTCTTCAGGAGGTCTCCCAGCTACAGAGATTTGTAGGTGGGCTCTTCGCCTTTAATACTTCTCAGTGGATTTTATCTACCGTGAGCATGTCCAGTTGCTTCCTGAAGCTGTGCAAAGTTTTAGCATCCATACCCTCGAAGAGTTCAGCTACAAATAGCATGAAAGCTGTGTCCTTTTGCATGTTTCAGATGTGTCACCTCTTTCATTTGAGACCTGTTTGTTTTCATTTTGGAAAACACAGCAAGCAGTTGACCCCTATCCACTCGCTCCATGTCACTGGTGATCCTATAGACCTCTTGTCAGTCCTGCTGGGCTGGGACTATCTGCTCATCAGCTCTGTGGATATTAAATTACTCGAATGCAAAAAGGCTTTTAAAGAAGCTGCTTTCCTCACTACAAAAGCCAACCCAAAAAGGACCCAAAACTAAACTCCCAGGCGGGACCCACACTCTTGGAAAGAAGGCAGAATTATTTGCCACCCCTAATGTCGATGTGAAGAGGTGCTAAAATTGGGAGCCACATAGTTAAATTACTGTCAGGCATGTTTGCAAGCAAATGTACTTTTTCATGCATCTGGGTTTAATTTTGTGAACTTGTAGCCCCACCTAATGTCACATTCCCGGGGGCCAGCTCCACTGGTACCTACTAAGCACAATGCAAATGCAATATCTACTTTCTGAAGTCCTGAAAAACTGCTGGGAGAAGGCAAAGTGAAAAATAGGAGGGATCACTTTGCATGTGCTCTGATATAACCCCTTTCCTGAGCATCCACTATCGACCGCTTCTGTGGACAGACTATTTATAGATTTGGTTTGACCCAATGGGCTGATGAACAACCTTCAGCTCCTCTCGGGGCAGTGGGAACTGGAGACATCCAGCAATATAAAACATGGTGAAACGTTCACCATCCAAGTCATCGCTCATCAGGATTTCTGAGAGATACTAACCTGTGAGTGCCACAGGGATGTAAGGCTATACCCAGGGACCCACACATGGAGAAATACTACACATGAGGAGGCCCCAGCCATTTTATGGTAGACTCTACCCTTGGCAGCTGCTTGCTAGGCTTCACCTCGGATATCAACAAGGTCATCCTGCTTACACGGAGCTCAGGATCCCTCCCTTAGTTTGGGTTTTCTTTTCCTCAGAGGGTTGTGCTACAGCACTGTTACAAGTATCTTTCCCCAGCTCATAAAAAATACAATATTCAGATCTTTTTCTCATTAACTGCCTTACCCTCACATCCCATAACTCAATTAAAAAGAAAAAAAACAACTAATGAATGCAGTAAGTCATGCACAGATACATTATAAACCCACTTATATTAATATTTATTTCTTAGCTCCTTTGATCCAAGGCTCTCAAAGCATTTCAGAGTGTTCAGCACCGTTATCCTGGCTGCAGAGCTGGGCAAATTCGTGCACAGGGTGGGTAACTTGATCAAGGTGTCAGCAAGAGAAGAGCCAGGTTGCTCAGTCCCTGCTCAGCAGAAAGCCCTTCTGACAGCTCAGCAGCTGCGTAAAAATTGCTCTCGATCAAGAAAACAAGAATTGTGATGCTGGTTTTTTTTAAATCTCTAATTTTGAATAGCTGTAAAAGCAGCCTGCTTCATATGTTCTGTCACCATACAGCCGAGATAAAAAGGCAGTCTGCTCTCCCCAAGGTAAATTGATACTGTGCTACCACTAAGACAACTCCTGTGCTTTGCCTGCCTAATGCACAGAGCACTCGTCCCCTCAAAATGCTCTTTCTAAACACATTAAAGCGGAGTTCCTAATACTGGTGAAAAAAGCAAGTCTTATGGGATGGGCTAAGCTGGTAAGCTCAGAAAGGTCTGGGGGAGTTAAAAAATAACATCGCTGAAGAGTGCTGACCTATTTCCTTCCCTGACTTTAATGAATTTGATATAAAACCCATGGAAGTCAGTTACACTCCTTCCACTGATGCAATCACCTTTGGATCAGCCCAAAAAGCAGCAGATATATTGGGGATTTAAGGGCAAATTGGGGTGATTCATGCATTTACCAGCTTGGGCAGACTGGCTTATAAGTTGCATAACCTGCCTCATGCCTGGACTAATGCAGTTTATTTTCTAACACACACGACAGAGTAGTGGAGAAGTGAGAACACCACCAGTCGCTTTACAGTATCAACATGGTCCAACTCTTCCTCCTCAACACAGCCGCTGGGTGCTAGTGTCCTTCCAAACGCTCTGGGGCAGACCCTCAGCACCTCACAAGCTATGGGCAGCGACAACCCAACAGCGGCGCAAGAGGAGGGAACACCACGATGGGTGCACACACAGATCAACACAATTCATGAAGAGGATCTTTAGGAGGAGCTTCCAAATGTAATGAGCAAGGAGGTTGCACCACAGGGCAGCTACAGCGCTTGGGGGGGAACAAAGACTCAGGAGGAAGGTGAGAGAAGCTGGCACAAGCAGTATGAGGATCCCATCAAACGGCGAGACCGATTTCAAAGCAGCCTGAAAGCTCCCAGCCATGCTCAGAGTCTGGGACCCCCTATCTTACCGCTAAAATGGTTGCGGGCTTCAGGGCCTGGTTGACGTTGCGGAGTAGTGTCCATTTGCCCTGGTCTCTCTCCTGATCTTCCACCACCTCAGGACATGGCTGCACGAAAATGACCTTCTTCCTTTTCAACATTTCCAAAATCTTGCAGTGGTATTTGTTCTTCTCTCTGCTTTCCACATTTATTCCACCACGAATGTTAGACAACTGTCGCCGGTTTGCTTTACACCTCCAGCGTGACCATGCCTGCTGCTTGCAGGGCACCCTCTGACCTGATTCACAATACAGCTCTTGGTAAAGATCTTCTCATAGCAGAAAAAGGAGAAGGTCTTCTCCACGCACCAGCTGTGGTCCTCCACTGGCCAGCTAGCACGCTTGCTCCATAGAACCGGTGCTGCAGGATTCTCAAAGCAAACTGAACAACTTTGCTTCTCTTCACTTAAGTTCTTCCAGTCTCTCCAGTAAGGGGTGACACTTGGTCGGAGACCTGAAGGACACTGCAACCACTCGTTCTGGAAAAACGACTGCAGGATTAACAGGAAGCCTCTTCATTTCCCCGTGACTTCTCTCCGTTACCTTCCTTTCTTTGTGAAATAACCATCTGCCAGCTTGAGGACTTTCAGCACAGAACACACTCGGGTGCTTATTAATCCACAAATGCAGTCACTCCCCATGCAACACATGGCACTTAATTAACCTAATACCTTTACGTACCAAATTAACCAAAGCGCAGCGGGAACTCAAAACCAGAGGCCATCTGCATTTTCTTTAAACTGATCCCCTTGAGTAGATCCATAGCAACTGAATTTTAAATAATTGAGTTGAAGGTGTTCAGAGTAGCACAGCCTCTGTGCCTATAGGTGAGAGGAGCACCTGGGCTGTGGATGAAAATGTGCCGAACATGAGGACCATGGAGATAGCGAGGTCGCACTGACTGCTCTACAGACTCACTTCTGCAATCTCTCCTTCTGTGCAGGGAGGACTGTTCTTGTAAGGGCTAATCAGGACTGCTGGCCCAACCAGAAGAGTGCAAGACATTTTACAGTCACCCCAGATTTGCTTTTTCCTGTCCTATCTTAGATGCACTCATTTTCATCTAGGAAAGGCTTTTCTGCTCATTTAGAGAATTTAAGACCACTCTAGCTGGGCCCCAGTCTCTTCCATGGAAATTTTGAACCTAACTTGGCATCATTTGTACAGACCAGAGCAATGCATGACTAGATAGTGGTGCAGCTGCTAAGCTTCCCATGCCGTTCTCATTTATCATTATTTTAATGCAAAAGTCTACTGATGCCTTGACTCCACAGGGTTTTGAATCCATTCATCCATGATGCAGAGGATGTATTCTTGGTGAAAAGTTATCTAGAGGAACAAAGACTTTATAGGTCCCCTTGATGAGACACAATTACCAAGGACTAACGTCACATTGGACATTAGGAAAAATTTCTGTACTGAAAGAGTGGTCAGGCCTTGGAACAGGCTGCCCAGGGAAGTGGTGGAGTCACCATCCCTGGAGGTATTTAAAAGACGTGTAGATGAGGCGCTTAGGGACATGGTTTAGTGGGCATGGTGGTGTTGGGTTGACGGTTGGACTCGATGATTTTAGAGGTCTTTTCCAACCTTAATGATTCTATGATTCTATGATTCTATGACAACCATAGACGATGGGTACATCAAACTCATACCGCGCTACTTCTGCTCATCAGTGAACAGCAGTGACAACAGTGAGGCAATCCTTGCCCAAGGGACAGATAATGGATTAATAACTTCATAGGCTTAAGCCATATTATAAAGCCCCGAAACAATAACGTGTCTAAGTCTTGTAGCTGTGCAGGTGATTTAAGGAAGAGATCGAGTCTCATGGATAAGGCAGCAAGCCAAAATGTACATGAGAAGCAATAGTAACGTAGGGAGAAGGAGACACAGATCATACGTAGCAATCTCACGGGAGATGTCTACCTCCAGCATGTCCTGAACACACAGTGCTATAGATGACTGCATTTTTGCTCCCCTAGAAAGTACAAGATCGATGTCCAATCAAAGCTAATAATCAATGAGAGGATGCACGTGAAAGGAAGGACTGAATAAATGTATATAAAGGGACCCTTAGGATGGGCTTTTGGGATTTGGGCTGGGTCCTACAGATGCTCTTTGCTCATCAGCACACCTTTCCTCACTGCCATACCACGGTAGCTGGAGCAGTGTGGGAGCAGCAGATCTGAGAAAGAGCAGCCAGTGTATTTATCTCACTTTGCACCGGAGCAGACATTACGCTCATTGCTCAGCTGCACCCTGTACCATATTTCTGAGGCTGTGTATCTCTGTGTGCTGCCAAGGAGTAAACTAAGGAGCAGAGGAGTGGAATGATTTGCCCTAGTTTATCCGTGGAGAAAGTAGAGATGGAAGCCCAGAGGGCTGAATCCGGTCTCTGCAGTCCTATTACATGAGCGTGCTTATTTTTTCCCTGATGCTGAGGCTGCTGAAGGTCTGTAATTTCACACACTTCCATTGCATATTTTTTGCATCGCTCCTCTGCTAGCAGGAGATTTTCTGGGGACTTGTTAGGCAAAAGTCACGCGTGTCAGCCAGAGGCACTTGGTGTTTGCAGGGCTGTCTGTCTGAATGGCCCGAGCATGCTGCCTCCTGGAAATGGGAAATCCCATCCCTCTGAAGGGATGACCCGGTTTGGAAATCAGCCTCCTTTCTGTATGCATCAAGGGGCAGAGCAACAGCATTAAGCCTCCTATCAGCATGCTTTTTCTAAGGGAACGTGCTATGCCTTATGTGGGAAACAAATAAACACACTTAGGACAATAAGGGGAGGGACACGATGGAGGAAAACAAGCCTTTAGCTGGCTGGCAGCCCGTCAGCAATGCCATCCGGTTTAGATTACAGCTCCCTGGGGTAACATTAGACTCCTCACCGCAGAGAGAGAAGTATGAGCCCGAAGAGCCGCGCTGGACCCTGATCTGATGATTTACTATACCTCTGCAGCAGCAGGCACAGCTGAGATCAAGGTCCTGCTGTGACACACTTTGTGCACACGCATAGTAAGGGGCAAATGCTCATCCTAAGGAACTGATGTGACCCAGGCAATAGGTTTATGCTGCTGCTGAGACCTGAGCTCCCATTAAGTGCTGCCGTGGCGGTGCGGACCTCACTGCTGGAGAAAAAAGGGAAATACCGCCTGCGAGAACCACCCTCACAGCAGGTGAACCACCCGATTTAATGAAAACTTGGGTTTCTTTGCCCCAGACTGTTTTTCAGACCCCAAGAAAATGCACCAGACACTGCCAGGGCTGAGGAGGTGTTCTTGAGTGGGTTGTTTTGCAGCTACCGCTGAAAAGCTGAGTTATTCAGTGAAACAGGTCAGGTGGAACTCAACTAACCCAGTGCATGTGTCCACCTCTGAGCAAGACATCCAGATCTTTGCTAGATGATCATTGCAGGTCCCTTCCAACTGAAATACTCTATTCTATTCCATTCTACATTCAAGGGAAAGAAAGAGGCACTTCTACGGTCAACCTCTGCATAAAGCAGGTATTTAAACTAGGTCAGATGATGCTGACCTAAAGGGGTGTGCGAAGACAACAGTTTGGAGGTAGAAATCTACAGTACAGGTGTCCAAAGCTAGCTAAGGTGGCTCCTACCCCTAGCGTGGGGGGCCCTAAGGGCTGATATTCAGGTAAATTGCTGAAGGATATGGAAAATCACTGGTTATCAGAGGCTGTCTGCGGACTCAGGTCAGCAGCGCTCCACCGATTACTCCCTGCAGCACTAAACTTACTTTTCTAAAACAGGAAAGATGATACCCTGCAGAATGGCCGTCAATGCACCGTGTGGGCCATACCTCTGACAACTGATGTAAAACAACCTGTTTATGCAGCTTTTTTTTTTTTTTTTTGGAAACGGGCATAATCACATACCCAGGTCTCCAGAGAGCTAGATCCAAGCTGAGTCCTTTATTTCCTTACTGCTCGTCTTTGAAGCAGAAAATCCTTAATGCACACAGACACAAGTGCAACATAGGCATTCCCCCAGCTCCAAATTTCAATGTCACTTGGAGAGCAGACTGAAATCTAAATGTATTGGTGCATCGCCGCATATTATGCCAGCGCAGACCTCCAACAGCTACCTGAATCCTTCGGGCAGTATAATGTCTGTGCTCTACTAAAAACACATATCACCTCTAGATATCACCTATCTGATTCAATTCAGCTCTCGATCACACGGGTGTACCCTGCTCGGTTTAATGGAGCTTCTCCTGGACCCACAGCTGTGCAACCCAGGGAGGAATTAGGACTGCTCATCTCTATTCTTTGCGCTCATCTTTAGTTGCGCAGTTGCCACCAGCATCAAGAAAAGGTGAGAAAGGAAGAAAAAGCTTGAACTTCTACTTAACAACAAACCGTAGTGCAAGAAACACACATGCTGGTAGTCGTTAACCCTAATAATTTTGCTGTTTCATGAATAAATAAGATTCTCTTCCCAATTTCTCGTAGCACATCAGGCACCAGCTGTCAGCCAAGGTAACATGCTACACACAAAGGCTTTCTGAAGCAAAGGCAGAGATGCAAGAGGAATCGTTAAATAATTCAATAATCAATGCACCGCTCGCTCATCCTGTAACTTCGATACTCACAGGAGGGAAAAAACCAACCCACGAACGTGGCACCCATCCCAACATTTTCCCATGTAGTGCTGAGGGATAGTCAAAGGCTCCGGGAGCAAAAATGATGGATTTAATCAGGTTTGCAGAGGTGCAGTCCAGCGTGGTGCAAGGAGGCTCAGCTCCCATGATGTCTGACCTCATCCCTGGCTTTTGGCAAGGAGCTTGTCGTTGACTGTTTGGGACTTCTCAGCTCAGCAGTGGGTTTTAAGCATGCAGACAAACACGGAGATAGAAGATTTAATCCGTGATTCCTACGGCATTACCGTCACGGGCAAAGCGGAGAATCCGGCAATCCGTTGGCATTACAAGCAGATTAGGCTTGTCACCCACCCAAACGCTGTGCCAGAGCACCGCGTACCAGGTCTCACACAAAAAGCTGATGGCCACCGCTTGGGATGTGATTGCAAAATCTGCTAAGACGCAGAAGTGGGACAGGAAATGAAGACTGAGCCTTTTAGCCCC